TACGTTACATAATGCACTCAGAAAACAATTTAAATTTTTGAATTTTATTGCAAATTTYGCAATTTTTTACTTGTCAAGGTATTCATGCAAAAAGYAATATGCYTGGATACCGTTTAATTCTTAGTTTGACAAAGCCTAATTTGTCAATAAATCTTATTGAGAGCTTTAATAATGGATGATATTAATTACGACGAATTAGTAGATCAGCTTGAAGTGTTTTTTAAGTGTAACAAAAATAGAGCGGAAGCTGAAAGACAGTATARAGAAAAATACTCAAATAGAATTCACCCAAATCGTTGAAAATTTAGTCGAATTGAAAAACAACTGAGACGAATAGGTTCGCTTCTTAAAACTAAWAAACCTGTGGTTCTTTGTGAAGAACAAGAAAAYAGAAATCTGAATGTTCTGTTATCAGTCGAAGAAAATCCAAGAGTTTCCATAAGAGAACTCGCTCATAAACTGAAAAATTAAATTTGTCAAACCAACAATTAAACTGAATCCAAGCATTTTTTTATTCACATCTTTCCTTTGAAATTAAAAATCAGGCTACGCGACCAATTTCCTTATAAAATTCTAAGATTTAGGATGTTTTTTGATTGCATTGTGTTACCCAAAATGTAATAAATAGTGGTTTACAGTATTTTTCATGTCAATTATTATTGTTTGGGGGAAAAAAACATAGGTGTTCCATTTGAAAAACTAAATTTAGTAGCATTTCCGGCAACACCGGATGTGCTAAAAAAATTTAATACATTTATTAAGAAAGCCAAGAATGAATATTATTACTTAAATATTTACTTTTTGAAAAAAAGAAGTAAGTTTAGGTGTTATCAGCCGGGGCGACTTGGACCSAACACCCTGTATGCTAAGATCTTTGTCATCTTATTTAATAGATTAATATTTAATTTCGGTGGCTGTCCCAGCGGTCATAATATTCCGGTCATATCTCCCACTTTGCCCAATTACCGATTCTAATAAGAGAAAATTAGATTTGGTCCCTTTGCCACATCCAACAAGAATCAATGATCGGCTTGAGAACCTCCTTGCCTCCCCAGCATTTGGTCCATACCCTCCACAATCAACAATCGSTTTATATCAAATCCACCGACTTTACTCGAAAACTCTTTCCACTCTCCTTAACCCGTTTACAAGAGGTCATTTGACACTAAGTGGAACTCACTTCTGACCAAATCAATATTAACAAAACAACGATCTGAAAATTCGCCGTTTCTCCGTCAACATCTGAACCCATAAACGTTGGAATTAAGGGGATTTGTTGGTGTTAAATTAGTTAGAAAAATTAGCCGTCATGAATAATCTCGACACATGCGACGTGTCGTTTGATTTCTAGATTGATTGGGTGATTAAACCGGCACTAAAGCAAACATCAAAAGTTAATTATTTTAAACGGTTGCGTTAATTACGGAGATTAAACGCTTGATGGAGTATTAAGTGTGGATTCGAAGGACGCCGAAACGCATCTGGTAGTGTACACAAGACTTAGCCGCTTTTTTGCGATACAATAAAGCYGTAATTTTGCTCCATATGTGATTGCCTTTAAATCCCGGAAACCGAAAGCTCTTTTAAACCATAAATTATTTGTAGGTCTGCGCGAATTTCCGTCCTCAACTTCAATATTTGTTCAATTACGATGTCTACGCTTTATTCCTGTTTTTCTGTTTCGGTAATTTCATTACTTTCGGATGACATACAACGAAAAATGAGTCAATGACGATATATTGTCTAAACATTACTGAGATCGAGAAAACAAAGGCACAATTCTATTTTTAAATTTAACTCAAAGGTTGCTACTTCTCTTTTATGTACGCATATTTAAAACGTGGATTTTTAAGCAAAATAATGTTTCATTTTTGTGTTTTTTTAGATGAAGAATAATGGAAAAGTGTTTTGCTTGGATGTATGTGTTGGTTTCCCTTTTGGCGGTTTTTAGCACGACGCTTGTTATTTTTACGAAATTTTATCGAGAAATGTTCAACACAAAGCCTCACAATGTTAGAGGTTAAAGATGTTAGCTATAATTTGTTTCGACAAATTAAACAGAAATGATGAAGACGCAGTTTCCGTTTTTCTCAAAAAGCAGAAAAATTTAATGAATCGCTTGAACCTCGCCTTTTCTGGCAAATGTAATTTAAAACGGAAAAAACACTGCTTTTGGTTAAAAAATATTTTGGGAAATAATCAACATACAATCATAAGAAACTGAGAACTAYATATTTGTTTACTTTCAAGAAAAAGTTTTCTYATCGTCCGCAAGTCACAAGTTCACTTATCAAATATTWATTCATTTATTATTTGACTTACTGCTAAGGTTCTTTTATTCTTCGACATTGTCAAAATTTACGGTTTTTCTCCCGTGTAAGGAAGTTTTAAACAAAACGTCAGATTATTTTTAACAGATTTAAGACTTGAAGAATAACATGTTGAATTCTACTCTTCGTGTAAATTGGTTTATTTATACCACCTCGTGGAGTCGTGGATGATAAACCACTCGTTGTYACTCGTGGTTTAATAATCCTCTCGTAAAATAAAGCGGCCGATTTACATTCAAACTCGTGGAACAAATAACTATTGTMAAATCGCCATTGAACTATTTAATTTATTAAGTTGGTTTCAAAATATATATTTCATATTAATTAATGTGCATGGAAGTAGTCGTTTAAAGGAATGCAAAAATTCAAACAATCCTAACCTCAATCTTCCCTAAAAATTAATTAAATTTTTTAAATAAATGTGAACCCCAAGTAGCAAAAAATAATTAAAATTAACTAGGTAATTAACATAGGGTAGATTTTTGTCAATATTAATGTGATTTGTTCTGAATGACATTAATGACACTTTTTGTGTGAATGTGACGTCAAATTAAAGATGCATTTAGACTTCTACAACCTTTTTGATGTACAATAAAATGAAGAAGATTATAGTAATTAGGTAAAAATATCAAATTTAAAAATTCAAAAACTACTTTTTACGTTTTGTACGAATGTTTTCAACATTCTTCTTAATTCTTTCAATGAATCTAACTCAAGCTCTTTACTGTTACAAGTCTCGCAAATTATTTAAGTGCGGCATTGCAGAGAAAATTATTTGAATGCGACAACTAATTGACAAGGGCAAAATCTGTCTCATTTTAAAGCAAATTCAACCTAATGAAGTATAATTTCAATTTCTAATTTTAATGCAGCAAGTTATTAATAATAGGTGWATGTATTACAAAGTTCGTCAGGCACATGGTTTTWTACGAATCACTCTGTACAACATTTAATAAATGCTATCAACTTGACTAGTGGACATGCTTGTTAAAAATAAGTCGATACGCTACGAATTCAGATATGTTATTGAGGTTTATTTTAGTATTTGTCTGAATACAGAAGCCACAAGGGATTAAATCTGCAAAAACCTGATCAGAGAACGCATCCACGAMCGTAGAGATACAAAATAAAAATTGCACATGTAATTATTCTAACTACAAAGTTTTTTAAGCCAGCGTTTCATAAACTAGAATGTTAGGTAAACAGTAATTAAAGCTTACTCGAAAAATGTCTGCAAAATTTTGTGAATACCACTAAGCTTACTCTTTATAAAGCATTTCAGATTATCAAATTAAAAAGATATTCTTGGTAACCCACAGATAATCCAAGTTAATTTTGAAATCATTGAATCAAAGCGAACCTGCTTTGCCGATTAGTACTCAGAGAGAAGACTAATTTGCTGAAGTATCTAGCCACTGTCAATTATTACAAATAAAATAAAAATCAAATTATTAATTATTCTAAAATGTTGCGAGGTATAACATTGAAGTACACAGCAATTTAATCTGATGGTATGTACATAGCGATTTAATTATGAACTATTTTTACAAGCGCATATTTTCATAGCTTAACACCATCAACATACATTTTTAGATGCATAAAAATGTTTAGATATTTTTAGTCCAAATTAGTGACACTAACCTCGTATTTTTTTATCAATCACATCATCACAATGTTWATTAACTGAATCTTAATWGCATTTTACCCATTTTAAAATTAATTTATTACAGCTAAGCACAAATAAATTTGTTATGATACTTATTATTCCTGTCAAACATTTTTTTTTTCATTTAACTGCGTCGTTTGGCCACATCATAAAATTTACTACTTACTGAAGAGAGTTAAAAAGCAAACAAATGTTTTGCAAGAAAAGTAACCAGCAATAACTAATTTTCGAAGAATTCGCTTGTTTGAATCATGTATTTGTACTKAAGTAGATAAAATTTGTAGCATTTTCTCATACTTTAGGTATGAATCAGTAGCAGTAATTTAATTAACAGTAATAACTAATTTTTGTTATGTTTTTTCCGTTTATTTTTGCGCTGTGTAAACAAAACTTTTCATATCTATTTTACAACTTTGGTACGTAATTATCACTATTATTATTTATATAATAATTCAGTCAAGAATGTTGGTTTAACGGCTATTTAGAGTTAAGTAACAATGCAGAATATTAACTTACAAATTAGAGTGTAATAGCGAATTAGATATACCCACTACAATAAGCAAGCACTTACACACTCTACTTAACTTCTTCAACTACTTTCAATCGAGTTAATTTCAATGAAGCATCAGCGATAACATATCCAAGAGGTGATAAAAGCGGGAAACTTTTCAAACTAAAATGAAGTGCCAAGACGAAAGCGAATCTTATTAGTCGCACAAGTATATCACCGACTGTGATTATTTTTAGGTATAATAAAAATTCTCCGTTAACACATGTTATGCCTACACTATTAATCAAAAAATCAAGGTCACATGCACTAACCGGTTATATTCAATTTTCTTGCAAAAAAACTTGGCAAATCCTAAATCCGCGTTCATCTAACATTGATTTTCTCGAAATAAACATGACGACTTTGACACGATTGCGATAACCTTAGTTCTCTAATAAATCCTTGAAAATACAGAGCAGATGTACCTARCTCACATGGCGATGAAGACACCTACCTCAACGTTATCACTGGTCAATTGTTTTTCGTTTATCAGKTTGTYACAACTGTCAACACAAGTAGTGTGGTGCACTGCTGTCTACCACTACAAAGAATCAACTGCGGTCAACCTTTCGGTGGATTTTGACTGACGTCATTTAAATCATGGTCGCACTACTTTCGCGGCGCAGATTGCTATGCGGCGCCCAAGGCCCTGCTTCCGGACCCATCCTTGTTATCGATGAGGAGTTCGTTGGCATTAAGGTTGAACTATACTGGGAAGTAAWGTGTTTTTGGCACAGAGGGTGGCGCTATATTTAGCGTCGTAGCAGACAACCCAACATACACTTGGTACTGCTGGTGCTTTTACCCTAAACAAAATTGATTCATTTCCTTTGTGATATACCAGCTAGTCACTAGAGGGCTTTTTTCCAAACTGGCTTCAAAGATCTTGACCTTCAGCGGTTAGGTAAACAAGCAC